GAAAGCAAAGGATGAAAAATAATGAAAGAGAAATACAAGAACTAGCTGATACCATCAGAAGAGGAAACATAAGAATAACAGGCATCTTCGAAGGGGAGGAAAAGGAGCAGGGATTAGAAAGCATTTTCGGACAAATAGTTGATGAGAATTTTCCAAGTCTAAGGAATGAGCTGGAGCTTGGAATTCAAGAAGTCAATAGAACACCCAGTTCTGTCAACCCAAGTCAACCGAAAAAGGCCTTCTCTTATCTGTAAAACGAGGGTATAGCAACACCTATTTCTTATGGCAGCTGTGAGGATTAATTGAGAAAATGCACATAAAGTACTTAGCATAGTCACCTGGCAGGAAGTGAGCATTCAGAGAAGTTTAGGTATTATTATTAATTATTATTATTATGCAACAGTATTCTTTTAACACTGAGTTCCTACCTAACAGGTGTCAGGTGCTATGCTGAGGTAAACAAAGACATATATGATACTCTCCCTGATCTCAAGCAGCTCTCAGTCTATTTATAGACAGTCGTGGATAAAGAAAAGCATAGTTCAGTAGGGTCACAGGGAGATGAGTAAAGTGCTCTAAGAGCTAAGAGGAGGGCACCTCACCTGCAGGCGAAAGATCAAGAAATGTTTCCTGGAGGATGTGATCCTTGAGTCAGGTCAGAAGCAATTAATAGAAATTAGCCGGGCAGACAACGGAGAGGACAGTCCAGTCCAAGCAGAAGGCACAACCCATCTAAATGCCTGAAGGCCCAAGACAATAGGACAGGTTCAGAGAACTAGGAGAGTTTGCTAAAGGTAGAGCTTAGGATCCGCGGGGGGAGGGCAGAGGAAGGGTGTCGGTATCAGATCAAAAAGGATCTTATAAGTCAGATATGGACTTTGGTCTTTAATAGAATGTCCGCTCAGTGCCAAAGTTATTCCCTCCATTCTTAGCAAAACTTACTACTCGATTGTGTATTTACCTGTTTCTTCCATTGAATTATGGGCTCCTTAAGGGCTCAAACCCTGGGACATGTTCTTTTCATTCCCAGCACCTAGCATTCAACGGATGTGGAAGGAGGGAAGGAAGGGACTTCTGCAGAGTCACGCAGGTCCTCAGTAGCAGACGTAGGGCTCAAATCCAGGTCTCCAGCGTTATTTTTAAGTGCCGTGCCACATTCGTCAGAGTTGGATATAGAAGTAGAGATCGAAGTCTTTCATTTAATGCCATCTTCCTCGTATCAGAGTTTTTCCTTTCATGGCCTAATGAACTTCTTGACACTAGTCAGGCAAATTCAGATATCGAAAATACTTAGTAAAGGTCGTTTGAACACTAAGGATTAAGTAATTATTCCACAAATAAATGTCGGTAAATTACAGCCTGCTCTTGGCTTCACACTACACACAATTCGATCTCATTCAGTGCTACCGATGGCACTACAGGTGTAAATACCAGAATGTTACTCGCTCAAGAAGAAAACAGTGCTAGACCCTCTAAAGCTGACCAAAGGTCTAAACTGCCGAGCATCTCACTTCAGACAGGCAGGAAACAGTCTACTTTAACATTTCTCTCATGAATCAGTAGCATATGTTATCAAAAGTAACAAATCTGTGTTCAGATCGGTAGGGGTCAGAAGAACACCTATCATCTCTATTAGAATCACATCAGGAAATACTTGAAAGGTCGTGTCAGTTCTAGTTCTAATAGATTACTTAAAATGCTTTCACTATTCTCCTGAAGTCTAGTTTCTCTCCATCCCAACTCACTCTATACCATTGCCCAGTTAATCTTAGCTGTGTGACCTTGGGCAGGTCACCCAACTTCTCAAGGTCTCGGTTTCCTCAACTGCTAAATGAAGGAGCTGTGCTAGATTAGCGCTTTTTATACTGTTACTTAGAGCCCTTGAGTCTCTCAGAGATGTCTTGGTGTCTACGGTGCCACTAAGCAGGGAAAAGATGGGCCGAGTTGGCAGGCTTCTGTGTATCCACTTCCAACACAGGAGCCCTTGTAGAAAGTAGAATTTGGTTTGGAAAAAGAGTTCTGCTACTACATAAAGCTTAAGTACTATTATACTTCCAAGATTTCTAAGGGCCTTCCTAGTTTCTCTAAGCTAAGATTTCATTAAAATCTTCTATACACAACTGAGATTTAATGGGATAAAGAGTTTGCACGCAGAAACACAATAAAAGACTTATTTTAATCATTACTTTTTTCTAATCACTTTTTAATCTTGGTATCATCTCAAAATAAGATGCGATGCAATAATTCAAATGACCATTCAAATGTATAATATACACTCTGAAAGTAATTGGCAACTCCCATAAAGACTGTCATTTTGAAAGCCATAGAAAAATGGTTTACAAAGTTCAAGACCAAATTCAAACTCTGCAGTTTATTTTTTCTCTTAGGCAACCGTAAAGCTACGTCTCAGTCCAAGTAAATGCATGGGAACAAATTCTCTTTAGTCCCACAATCACTGAATTTCCAAGTCTCTTGCACAAGTATTATCTTGCTCCTTTGTATTCCTGGCCAAAGATGACCCTGAAAGTTGAGTTTATTGGAGTAGGTGCCAGACCAATCACATCATGGATGGTTCGCCAGAGCCTCAGTTCCTCCTCAGCTTCTGAAGTGTGATGTCGCAAGGGGAAGTTTATTAGAATCATCTGGGAAGCTTTTCCAGCCTACATTTAAACCCTGCTCTGCTCAGCCTCCTGCGAAGCCCTGTTTTAGCTCAGGGCTTCATTCTGTGCCACATAAAAGATCCTATGTGTCTTTTAAAATCCTGCTCAATTTGAGGTTGATGGAGTAAAAAACACCCGAATTTAGAAGACTCTGGCTTTGCCACAACTGGTTGGGCGAGTCGCTTTTGTGGTGTCAGTTTTTCCTGATTTTTGCGGTCGCCTTCGAAGTCTGAAAGTCTATTATGAATGTCATGTCTATGAAGGTTTGTGAACTAGCAGAGAATGACTTGTCATTTCTTAGCTTTCCAACAGCTTGGGCAATACAACATACCCCCGAGTTATATAGCTGTTCTTTATTGCCCTGTAGTTGTTTTTACATAAAAAAAAATTTTCTTCTCAACTATAGTTAGTTTAAAATATATTTAGTTTGAAAGCTTATTTTCTAGGGCAGGCAGCATGCATTCTACTGAAATCTCCTAGGACAGCTCGGAGTGTGTCCTAAGGTAATCAGTATATATTTATATCGATTTATTCAAAGCAATGACGAGCCTTCTTTGAAGGTTCTGGAATTATATTTTTACATCGGCACTGTCCAGTAGAAATATGTGAGCCAAAAATGTCAGCCGGATATGTCAAGTTTTCTAGCAGGCATACTAAAAAAGTGAAGATGCAACTGGAATCATTTTTAATGATATATTTAACGCGATCTATAGAAAATATTTGCATTTCAGCAATGTAGTCAGTGTAAGAATTATTGAGCTATTTTATATCCTTTTTCTCGTAGTAAGTTGTCAAAACCTGATCTGTTTCACATTTCGACCTCGTGTCCATTCAAAGTAGCCACGTTCGAGTGCTCAGTAGCCCCATGTGGCCAGTGGCTACATACTGAACACCGACAGTTATGCATCACTGGGCTGCTTCCCAAAGCCATCGCTTGCTTTTCTACTCCTATAATGACAGTGAGCACCTGAGAAGTCGCAGGCACTGGGCCAGCCTGGCCAGAGGGGCGAACAAAGTAATCGGACTCCCTTCGGGTAAGGGGGATGGGAGGATGTGTAAATCCCTCACGGTGACTCGAGGTCGTAGGGACTCTGATGCGGATGCACAGACAATGAAGATATTCTGTGACCTGGCGGGGGGAGGGGATCAAGCAGGCGTCAGCGAGGAAGCGACGAGGAAGGAAAGCGCGCGTGAGTGTGTGTGTGTGTGTGTGTGTGTGTGTGAGAAAGAGAGAAAGTGTGAGTGTTCCCCACAGAACACTTAAAGTCTGAGATATTTAATTATCTTAGGAATCTTAGGAAGATGAAGGTTTAAGTCTAGCTCCTCAATTTTAATGTGTGACTTTTCAGATGACATTGTTACTGTGTAAATTAATCCTATGCTACCTGTGGCCTATCTAACACTACAGCAGAATTTAGTACACTAACACAGAAAACCCACACAGCAATGGCACATATACACATTTATGCAATAATTAGTTGATAATCTGTTAGGTAGTTTTATTTTCCATTTATAGTAAAAGGAGATTTTTGTTGCTAAAAAGAAACCAATCAAACTGTTGATTATTGGATATGCATTTAGCCATCACCTTGTTTTCTGGAATTGACCCCAAGGTAGAATAATTCTATTCATGGACTACTATGGAAACTATTTTGATTTTCCTGTCTAAACATTGAGGGTTTTTTTCTGAGTAAAAGAATTCTTACACTGTTATGTAGAGCAGTGCATGTCAAGCTTTAATGTGCATACAAATCACCTGGACATCTTGTTAAACACCCTTTCTCTTTCTGATTCAGTGGGTCTGGGATGGGGCCTGAGACTGTGAATTTGTAACAAGCTCCCAGGTGATGATGATGATGATGGT